CTGCAATATGGGAACTTTTAATCTTGAAAAGTTTAAAACAGTGACATTTTAATAGTTTAAAGCAAGGAGTGCCCAAAATTTTTTTTTTACAAAGGCCCAAAAACCAAGCTTGATTGAGGGTGGTGGGCCGAAAATAAATTTACCATCAAGTCGCCAAGTAATTTTCTAATTTATTCATATTTAAAAATAAATAGAAAAAAAAAATTGAGTCATATTAATAATTATACGTTTTTGTGTATTTCATAATAGATTTCTTTCATTCATTGATTTTCCCTTGGCTTAGTCAGTTTATTTATCAGGGACTACAGCGGAATGAACCGCCAACTTATCCAACATATGTTTTACACTGCGGATGACATTGCAGCCACAACCCATTACTCAGAAACACCCATACACTCTCATTCACACACACACTCATACTACGACCAATTTAGTTTATCCAATTCAGCTATAGCGCATGTATTTGGACTGTTGGGGAATCCGGAGCACCCGTAGGAAACCTACGCGAACACGAGGAGAAAATGAAAACTCCACACAGAAATGCCAACTGACCCCAGCCGGGACTCGAACCAGCGACCTTCTTGCTGTGAGGCAACAGTGCTAACCACTGAGCCAGATTATCGTGCCTATTTTTATTATTATTATTATTCTAAATAAGTAAAAACTGTTGGATGAAAAGTCTGATCGCGTGGCACAAATTCAGAATTTAGAGAGAAAAATCAGAATTACAAGAGCTAAACTCAAAATTCTGCTGAATAAAATGCAGAATTACGTTATTAAGTCAGAATTATGAGAAATTAAAAGAAGGTCATACGTTTAGAACCACGTAAGTGTGAGGAAATTAAGGAAATTATTAATTTTTGGTGTAATATCCCTTCAACCATAATTTATTATCAGCAAAAGAAATGTTGACTTATAGGAAATGCAAATTCAGTTAGGTTGATTAAAAATGCTGATGTTTTATTACATATAGGTGAAGGCAAATGTATTAGCCCTTCTGTGAAATTTTAATTTAAATATTTCTCCAAGTGATGTTTTTCAAAGCAAAACTTTTTTACAGTATTTCATGTAATACTTTTTTTTCCAAAGATTGAATTTAAAAAAAAAATAATTAAGTTTAATACAATTACACCATCTCTTTTGATTAGCTGCAGAATAAACCACTGTTGTGCATTGACTTTGCCTATACCCAAAATTGCCTAGTTAAGCTAATTAACCTAATTAAGCCTTTAAATGTCACTTTAAGCTGATTACTAGTATCTTTAAAAGTATCTAGTGAAATAGTATGTACTGTCATCATGGCAAAGACAAAAGAAATCAGTTATTAGAAATTAGTTTTAATTTTTATTACATTTTATTAAAATAACTATGTTTAAAAATGTGTTGAAATACATTTCTTTTTACTAGAAAATCATAAAAATATTACTTAAGGTGGCTAATAATATTGACCTTAAAATCTTTTACTATTTAATTAAAACTGCTTTTATTCTAGCCGAAATAAAACAAATAAGGCTTTCTCCAGAAGAAAAAATATTAAAGGTAATACTGTGAAAAAAAACCCTGCTCTGGTAAACGTAATTTGGGAAATGTTTAAAAAAGCAAAAAAAAAAAAAATCAACATGAAGGCTGAACATTTTGACTTCAATATGCTTGGAAAACAAGTCTGATTGCAGCAGAAATGAGTGGCATGCTCTCCAAATAACCCAAACCATATGTCCTCCTCAAGGATCCTAGATAGATTCACTTCTTGTTTTAAGAAATGCAACTCTAACGGCATGTGCAGAAACACTGACTGATTTACTGTCAGCATGTCTGGCTCCTCGGGAAGTGAAGTGACAATCTTCACTTTACGCAACCAGCCTGGATGTGTCACATGCGTTTTTGAGTGGGTGAGTGTGTGTGCATGTCTGTGTGTGTGTCCTGCATGCACAGCACTCCTGAATGTACAGAAAACAGCTTCTCATTTTTTAAGTTTTGCATTTATGCTGTTTTGGTGTCATTTCGCACACAAATAATCTCTTCTGTAATGATTAACTAGTTACAATGTGAATACAGTGATGTTACTTCACTTGTTACCGAGTTTAATTCACTCACCCTCAAGACTCCATGAAACTATGTACTATTTTTTACTTAATAAAAATCATAATTGTTATTATTATGATCATAAATCTTTTGAAATTGTAGAAAGTGCTGTTGAATGAAGAGAAGATTGTTTGTTCAACTCACACATTTAAAAACATTTAAATATAAGGGGCCCTATCATACACCCAGCGCATTAAGGAGCAAGCATTATGGCGTGATTTATTGCCATTTTCAGACCAGTGCAACTGTAATTTTTAAGTTTTGCGCTACACTGTTTAAATAGCACCACTTTGGGGACTCGTGGATGTGCTGGTCTATATCGGAGGTTTGTTAAGGCGCATTGTTGGTGCGTTGCTTTTTTGAGAAACTAAAATAGACCAAATAAATATAATATGAAATAGACTAAACTGAATTTCGGGACTTTTCCAGGAGACAGAACAATATGGGAGAAGGGCGGGAGATGGGTCTGAAATACGGGAGACTCCCGGGAGTGTTGGTGGGCATGGATATAACATTTTCTGGAAATTAGAACTGAATTCAGAAATAGTTTTAAACAAATTTTTGCACTTAACAAAATACATTAAATATGCAGGCTAATGGATGTCTTAAGTGGAGTGTGTACAACACCATTTCCCTATCCACAAAAGTAAAGGAGCAAAGAGTAAAAGTAAAGTAAAGAGGCTGAATGGAGGAGGCTCGTTCTTCATTCTCGCGCTGCAGATGCTTTGTTTAACTGTTTTCTCGCTAGTGAAGTGTTCAGTTTTTTCACTTACAAAGTCCCCATGTAAATAGCAAATGTGCCATGACACGACGCAACTGACTCTTAAAGAGAATGTGAGATGAGACTCTGATTGGTTTAACCCACGTTATGCTCAAAACACACCCAGAACTCATTAAGAGATTGAGCACAACCCTGCTAGACCATACGCCAGGGAGCAGATCATCCCTAAAAAAGCAAAAGTAGATTCAGACTCGCTCTGAATGCTTTTGCGCAATGTGCTTAAGACTTTGTGACGTTAAAATAGAGCCTTATAGTTTTAATAGCTACATTTTAATAGCTAATAGTTTTTTTGTCTTTGCTATGATGGCAATACATATTCATTCATTCATTTATTTTCGGCTTAGTCCCTTTATTAATCTGGGGTTGCCACAGCGGAATGAACCGCCAACTTATCCAGCATGTTTTTTTTATGCAGGGGATGCCCTTCCAGCCGCAACCCATTTCTGGGAAACATCCACACACACTCATTCACACACACTCAAACACTACAGACAATTTAGCCTACCCAATTCACCTGTACCGCATGTCTTTGGGCTGTGGGGGAAACGGGAGCACCCGGAGGTAACCCACGCTAACGCAGGGAGAACATGCAAACTCCACACAGAAACGCCAACTGACCCAGCCGAGGCTCGAACCAGCGACCTTCCTGCTGTGAGGCGACAGCACTACCTACTGCTCCACTGCGTCGCCAGCAATACATATTTTGCTAGTTATTTATCAAATATTCAGCAATAAGTGTAATTTAAAGGCTTAACTCGGTTAATTATGTTAATAAGGCATGTTAGGGTGACAGTGGTTGTCCAATCTTAAATGGATCAAAAAATCTTTGGGTGCTTTCACACCTGTGAATCGATTCAGTTGTTCCAAAACAGAAATTAAAATTGTTACATTGTTGCTCTTTGCTCTTGGAGCGGTTCGCTTTGACACTGCAAAGTTTCTAATCGGACCAAAAGAGCTAAAACAAGTCACGTGCGAGTAAACTCTCCTCCCATTGGTCAGAGTGTCAGGGTTTATTTTGCAGCGTCCCGCTCAGCTGTCAGGAGAGGTGGTGGTTTGGTGGTGATTGACAGGGTGCGCGCGCGGCGTGTCTGAGGAGAGATGCGGTGGGGAGGGGTGAGAAGGGTGCGCGATGATGCCTATTTGAGGACCTGGAGGGAGACGCGAGATTGCCGGGAGATCATCACTCGTTTGCGGGCATACGGAGACTCGCGAAACTTTCCACCCCACTCATAATTCTCTCTTCATATAGCCGTAAGCCTATTACATATCCATAAAACAAAGTGATACAACCGCGCTCGGATCGGATCGCTTTCTCACTACAATCGAACCGATCCAGGGTTCGTTTCAATCGAGCCGAGATCACCTCATTCAAGCGATCTCGGAGCGATTACTTTGGCGCGGAACAGAGTGCGGTTGACCTGTTCACATATGCCAAACGAACCGCGATAACTGGGCAAACGAGATACGTTCCGAAACAAAAGTGTAGGTGTGAAAGCACCCTTACATAGATAGTTCACCTAAAAATGAAAATGGACCAACTATTTACTCAGCCTCAAGGTGTTTCAAACAGTTATGGGTGTCTTTCCTCTGTTGAACACTAAATTATATATTTTGAAGAAAGCTGAAATTCAGTAACCATTAACTTCCATAGTGGGAAAAACAAATACAGGGAAATTCAATGGTTAAAGGTTTTTAGCTTTCAAGCAAAAAAAAAAAAACAAGCAAAGGGTGAGTAAATGAATTTTCATTTTTGACTGATTATCTTTTTAGGGGGCTTATAGTATTGACTTTATAGACCATTTCAATGTGGTGATGTCATTGGCCCATGAACATTTCCTGCTTGTTATCAAACCATTTCATAACTGTAACAAGTGTGCAATTCAATCATAACCTAATGTAAAAAACAGCTATCATAACATTATTTATCAATATGTGGCTCTTTTTGGATTCTTTGCAGCTATAGAAATTAAAAATGTAAAACAGGAAATAAGCTGGGCCCAGTGTTATTGTTTACATCCCTTAAAATGGTCTACAATATTGAAAACCTTCTTCAGAAGAAAGCTCTTCCAGAGTTATTCAATCCTTGTTTTGTTTTTTGTAAAGTGTAATGTAAATAAATTATGTTTGTGTGTTTCAGATTCGCAGCATGAGCACAGAGGCTGCAGTGACTCTGCAGGAGTTTAACAGCACATACAGTGTGGAAGTGGTGGCCTGCACACACAGCGGCTGTGGCACCAAACGGTCACGACACTGGCTCGTTGTGCCCAGCATTGGTGAGCAACAAACTTTCTCTGGGTTTCACCGTTAGAAAGATTAAAGAATAAAATACTGTAAAGCAATGGCACTGGAAAAAAATACTAACTAGTACAGATTTTTTACCTGTCTTTGAGGCCAAACCATTAGTTCAAATATGTTGACCACTAAATCTGATGATGTTCAAAATGGTTAATTCAATTCAACTCACTTCATCTTTATTTCTTTAGCGCTTTTACAATATAGATTGTGTCAAAGCAGCTTAACACAGAAAATTATAGTAAATCGAAACAGTGTGAGTCCAGTTTTCAGAGGTTCAGTTCCGTTCAGTTCAGTTCAGTTGAAAAGCAAATCCATCGATGCTCAGCTCTACAAGTCCCAAACCATGCCAGCCAGTGGCGACAAACTTCAAGTGACGAAAGTGAAGGAACTCGAGAGAAACTCAGTTTGGGCTCGACCATTTCTCCTCTGGTCAAACTTCTTGTGCAGAGCTGCAGTCTAGGTGCCAGCGGTTGGAGAACGCTGGACATCCATCGTGGAGAAGATGTGGAAGTCTTGTGGAAGCACCCTAAGACATTCTAAAAAAGGTTTAGGTTTATTTTATCTATAATATAGAGCACATTTGGATGGTGGGAGGAAACCAGGGAACCTGGGGGAAACCCACGCGGACACGGGAGAACATGCAAACTCCACACAGAAATACCAGATGGCTCAGCGAGGACCCAACACTATTGGTATTCTTGCTGTGAGGCAACAGTGCTAGTCACTGGGCCAACGTGCCGCCCATTCTGGATAAAGGAGGAAAAAGGGGAGAAGGGGGGTTTCTTCCAGACGAAGATAGTTGTAGAAAGGAAATGAGGAGATATATATAGTGATTTGGGATCCTTTGATTGGAGGATCATGATTAGCTAATTTGGACCAGCTGGGTCAATCATGAGCACATGCACATCTCGAAAATAGTTTAAAATTAAACTTCACTTAAATCTAATACAAACTTTCATGAACCTTGTCAATACAGGAGTTTTATTTCTCCATGTTTGTTTCATGGATTTTTGTTTTTTTGTTTTACCCTGTTGTTTATTAATTTTGAAATGCATGCATCTGTGTTTTGCAGATTCGCCTGATTCTCCATCCTCGACTCCGCTTCCCAATCGTCCTGATTCTGCCTTCATTGTTCTCGGGGTGGTTTGCGGTTTCTTTCTGGTGATCGTGTTGTGTTGGGTGGTGTGGCTGCACAACAACTCTTATTTACCGTAAGCTCATTTCTTGTTTTCTCATTCAACATGAAATCTAAAGTAACGCGGCTTAGTACCTTATTTATCAGGGGTTACCACAGTGGATTGAACCACCAACTATTCCAGCATATGTTTTACACAGCAGATGCCCTTCCAGTCACAATCCAATATTGGGAAACACCCAATCCCATTCACTTACACACACACACACACACACACACACACACACACACACACACATATACACCACGGACAATTTAGTTTATTCAATTTACCTGTAGCGCATGTGTTTAGACTGTGGGGGAAACCCACGCCAACACAGGGAGAACATGCAAACTCTACACAGAAATGCCAACTCACCCAGCCGGGACTCGAACCAGTGACCTTCTTGATGTGAGGCGACAGTGCTAACCACTGAGCCATTGTGCCGACCCACACAATTGCAAGATGTAAACACTAAATTTTGAGAAAGCAAAAAAAAGATAAGAAAGAAACTCAGATTTCTGCTAAATAAAAGTCATTGTTGTTTGATGAAATCTGATTTCTGAATTACACGCATTGAGGAAAATGTCAAATTGTGAGACAAATTCAAAATTCAGAGAAAAATCTAAATTATGAGAGATGCATTTAGATTTCTGCGAAATAAACATCAGAATTGTGTGATAATGTCAGATTTCCGAAGAAAAATTCAAAATTTAGGTGGTAAAAGTCAAAATGTGAGACATAATTTCATAATTCAAAGGAAAAAGTCTGAATTATGTGAGGCAAACTTAGATTTCTGCTGAATAAAATGCAGAATTACATGAGAATTATGAGAAATAAAAGTCAGGATTATGAGATACAAATTAAGAATTAAAAGTAAAAAGTCAACGTATGAGAGATAAATTCATAATTCAGAGGAAAAAAAGTCCAAATACAAGAGGTAAACTCAGAATTCTCAGAAATATATATATATATATAAAAAATAAAAGTCAGAATTATGAGATGCAAATTCATAATTCAGAAAAAAAAGTTCTAATTGCAATTCATAAATTAATGATTTAAACTAAAATGTCAAATTGTGAGACACATAAATTCAGAATTCACAGAAAAAAGTGTAAACTGAGATTTTTTTTAGCAATATATGATAAATAAAGGTCAGAATAATACTTAAAAAATAATCAGAATTAAAGGATTCAAATTCAGAATTCAAAGATACAAGACAGAATTGCGGGAGGTAAACTCAGATGTCTCATAAATAAAATTCTTATGAGATGCAAATTCAGAGGAAAAAACTATTTGCAAGCAATAAATTCATAATTCAGAGAGAAACGTCAGAGGCAAACTCAGATTTCTTTCTGAATAAAATGCAGAATTTCATGATAAAAGTCTGAATTCTGAGAAATAAAAGTCAGGTTTATGAGAAGCTAATTCAGAATTATAAGAAAAAGCTCAAACTGTGAGACAAACTTATAATTTGAAAAAAAAAAAGTTTCTAGGGTAAAAGTCTAAATTATGAGAGGCAAACTCAGATTTATGCTGAATAAAATGCAGAATTTCATGATAAAAGTCTGAATTCTGAGAAATAAAAGTCCGGTTTATGAGATACAAATTCAGAATTATAAGTAAAAAGTCAAAGTGTTGAAGTCAAAGATAAATTCATATTCAGAGAAGAAAGTCAGAGTTATGAGAGGCAAATTCAGAATTCAGAGAAAAAAAAGACTATGAGTTAATGTCTCACAATTTAAGTTTGCATCCCATAATCCTGACTTTAATTTCTCATAATTCTGAATTTTATCATGTGATTCTGCATTTTATTCAGCGTAAATCAAAGTTTGAAATAAAAGTCAGAATTATGTTTTAAAGACAGAACTCTGGGTAAAAAAAGTCAGAATTACAAGATTCAAAGATAAAAAAAACAGAGTTGCCAGAGTTAAACTCATTATTCTGATAAATAAATGTCAGGATTATGAGATGTAAATTAAGAATTATAAGTAAAAGCTCAAATTGAGAGGCATAAATTCATATTTCAGAGAAAAAAGTCAAAATTGTGAGAACTAAAATCAGATTCCTGCTAAATAAAAGTCAGAATTATTAATTCAGAGGAGAAAAGTGATAATTGCAAGAGGTAAAGTTATCTAATTTTTATTATAATTATTAGAATAAAAAGTCAGAATTGATATAAAAACCTAGAATAATTGAAATACAATTTACTGTGAGATCAAAATCTAGAAAGTGTGAGTGGAAAAAAGTCTAAATTCTGAGATCAAGAAGAATCAATCTAGTCCATAGTGTGCATTTGGTTTTATCCTGATTAATGTCCTGAGGTGTTCTGAAAAAACATTACGCAATCGTTTTTTTCTCTATATTAGATTTCAGTAATTACTCTTGATTCTCCCTCTGCTGAGTTATTTTCAGATGCCTTTTCAGTCCAACAGCGAATGTGAAAACAAGGTTTATTTTTGAGAGCAGCGTGTGTTCATCATAATGCACTGTGGAGGGGAAATTGAAGGCTTCAGGAAAGAAAAGCAGAGGGAAAGTTGCAGTTCTTGGTCTGTAAAAACAGCGTGGCTTCACAGTAAAAGTTAATTATGGAGGACAGAGTTTGCCAAAGCAGCTCTGAGCGTAAAGCATCAAATTACCTCTGGATGTTTGCAAACAGGATTTGGCCCACTGGATATACGGTGGTTTCAAGTTGTTGTTCTTTTTAACAATCTTTTTATTGAGTTCATCAATCATATTTACATCTTTGTTTTCAATTTAAAAGGATAACACCATTCATTTGTTCATTCATTCATTCATTTATTAATTTTCTTTTCAGCTTAGTTCCTTTATTAGAGAGAGAAATAAAAACAAAAGTCACTTTGCTTCTCCAGTGAGTTCATTTGAGCTAAGTAAACGGAAAACAAGACAAAATCCTAAGAGAAAAGTATTGTGGCGCTGTGTAACCGTTCCAAACTATCACACAGATATCTGTCACATCAGCTTTTCAGTCTGGTATTGAATCAGTGCATTGGCAGCCTGTTTTTGTGCTGTGTTTTGCTGTGTTTGTGTGTGTGCATGTATAAAAGTGTGTCTCTGGCTCCCTCTACAGGTGTTGGTTTGGTGCAGATGATAAACTCACTCCGATCGTGGAGTACAAACCTCAGAGATCCTATAACCGCTCAGCCATCGAAATCACACGTACGCCAAGCTTTATTATTCACTCTTTTTTTTTCATCTTTCATTAAAACCTCAAAACTGAATAACTGTGATCTCTCGCTCATATACAGTTGAAGTCAGAATAATTAGTCCTCCTGAATTATTAGCCCTCTTGTTTATTTTTCCCCAATTTCTGTTTAACAGTGAGGATTTTTTCAACACATTTCTAAACATGAGAGTTTTGATAACTCATTTCTAATCACTGATTTATTTTATCTTTGCCACGATGACAGTAAATAATATTTGACTAGATATTTACAAGATACTAGTATTCAGCTTAAAGTGACATGTAAAGGGCCATGACACCCCCCTCTTTCGGTTAAAGTCTACTTCAGATTTTTTCAAAAGATGCATGATTAATGGGTGCGGAGCTCCGCGAGCATCGGGCAGGAGTGGGCGTGGCCAGCAGGGGAGAAGGGGAGCGAACAACTGTTGTTGTCAGTTAGCTCACAAAATGAGACACAAAGAGGAGACGCATGAGTTTATAGTTTACAAAGTTAAAATGCAAAGAAATGAACAGTGATTTAATGCCCTGCTACATTTGTTATTTGTAATTTCATATACAGACAACAACAATTTATATCATTATAAAGATAAGTGTGTTCATGTAAACACTATAAATGAGGACTTCTCCCTCGATCCCCGTATCCAGCAGACTGAGTGCAGCAGGTCCCCTGACCCGTCTATTTTAACCATTAACCCTGCTGGTAATCTGGAGGATTTAGGCAAACACAGCAGCACGGCGATGTGTCTGAATGTGAACGAACTCCTGATGAAAGACAGCGTCCGCCATTCTCCAATTCTCGTGCTGCTATCCCGACAAAAATGCTAGCAGCACACACACAGCTTTGCTGTATGATTGGCCCTGACAAGATCGCGGGGGAAAACATGCAACAAACCCCGTGGATGATGGAAACAAACGCATATGAGCCTTCATGAACGGCTAATACTGTGCCGTGGTTTCCGTGTCTCTCAGCTCGGGCTTGACACTGGCAGGTCCGGCAGGTCTGATGAATAATTAAGCAGCCGGCTCTTCTCATAGGATAAGAAAACTCCGCTATGAATAATAATGAGAAACCGACGCGTCATCATTGCACTTGCAGTTCTGCGCTACGTCGCCGATTTGGATCCCGCCCCAAAAATCATTTTAAACCCGGAAGCTGAAATTAGCTGACAAAAGCTCAAAATTACCCAGTTTTCCCCACAATTACAGCTGACAGGTGCTAACATTGTCTTAACTGATGCTCAACACACACACATCTGTTAATACAAATAAAAAAGTTCTCCAGGGTGTCCTGAACCTTTAAAGGCAAATCATTGTATAACAGTGTTTTATTCTGTAGACAATCTTAAAAAAATAATGCTTAAAGGGGCTAATAATATTGACCTTAAAATGGTTTTAAAAGAATTAAAAACGGCTTTTATTCTAGCCGAAATAAAACAAATATATCTCCAGAAGACAAAATATTATAGGTAATACTGTGTAAAATTCCTTGCTCTGTTAAACATCATTTGGATCCACTTATGTCTGTAAATATTGAGTTGATTTCCTTCTGTTTCTGAACTGTCCCTTTTTTGTAGTTGCGAGTCTGGGCATCAGCAGTGAACTTCAGGCCAAACTGCAGGACGTGATGATCGTGAGGAACCTGCTGTCCATTGGAAAAGTTCTGGGAGAAGGTGAGAACCCTTGTGTGCCATTAGGGATGTTCTCATCCTTTCTGGGGTGATTTTTGAAGCAGAATTGTGTTCTTTAGGTTTACAATCCAAAAAAGAATTAAAGAATCTGGGTGTTATTTTCGATTGTGATCTTAATTTTAAATCTCATATTAATCAAGTTACAAAAACTAGTTGTATTATTTAAGAAATATTGCCAAAATTCCTTCTTTCCTATCTTTTGATGATGCCAAGAAATTAATTCATGCTTTTATTCTCTCTCGCCTTGATTATTGCAATGCTATTTATACTGGTCTACCCAAGGGTTCTATAATGAAGTTGCAATTGATACAAAATGCAGCAGCCAGAGTTTTAATAAAATTGAAGACGCGAGAGCACATCACACCAATATTAATAGAATTACACTGGTTGCCTGTGCACCAAAGAATAGATTTTAAGATTCTTTTGTTGGTTTATAAAGCACTTCACAACATGACACCTTCCTACATTTCCGACTGTTTATCAAAATATAATCCAAACTGTTTGCTACGCTCTTCTAGCGCTGGGCTTTTACTCTGTAAACCTGATGCGATCTGGCAATGCCTCTTTTAGCCATTATGCTCCAAAAATTTGGAACTGTCTCCCTCTTGAAGTGAAATAATCCCCTAGTATTCATGTTTTTAAAAAGCGTGTTAAGACAAATCTTTTTAAAATTGCGTATGAATACACAAGCTTTAAAGGTGTATGCAATTGATCTATATTGTTGTAGGTTTATGTGTGTATGTATGGTGTGTGCTTGCACATGTAAGGACTATCGTGTGCGTGATCATGTGGATATATGCTTACATTTTGTGTACATGAATGCTTTTATTCGAGTATATGGGACAAGTTTATGTGGTCTGTTTTAATGCTTTTTTTGTTGTTGTTGTTTGTGAGGCACTTTGAGTCGCATGTATGTTGGAAAAGTCCTATACAAATAAAATGTATTATTATTATTATTATTATTATTTTGAGTCTTAATTTGGCCACAACTGTCTCTGTGTTTAAGCAAATGGGAAAATTTGTTCTGACAATTCTTATTTTGACACATATTTTGGGAAAATGCTTTGGAATTTTTCAAAAACTCAACACTCAATACACTCTGGGCAAATTGACTCCCCTTTCATTATGTTAGTGGCTGATTTTACCCCATTGACTTCCATTATAATCACATTTTTTGATTGCAAAGCCATGACAGCATATAATCATGCAATCTTGATTGTTGCGGCTTTTCTCTGTTGGGAGGAGGTACAATGTGTGATTGGTGTGGTGTGGGATTGATCTAATGACCTGATCTCTCTTTCACAGGCGAGTTTGGATCTGTGATGGAAGGACATCTCAGACAGCCTGATGGATCCACTGAAAAGGTTGCAGTGAAGACCATGAAATGTAAGACAAGATTTGATTAAGACTATAGATGTGTATAGCAGTGGCTGTTAATGTAGAAATATATATAAAAGCATTTCGTATGAAGGTAAATCAGTAGCAAACCTCTAGAGCTTGCAAATCTAAATAAGAACTTATAAATATTTATGTGTAGGTTGAAATTTACACTCAAAGCTCTTGATTTAAATGCACAGACAATGATCAAATTTGAAGATGCAGATTAATAGTTATGTTTTTAAAAATGTCATTGACAATTACAAAATCACAGCTGTCATTAAAATTTAAAATTATCTGTCTAATTTTCTAAGCATTTTATTTAAAGTCAATTTAGCATTTATGTCGTTACTTATGATTATTATTACAAATATTTTCATTTTCTGCTTAATAAACTTGCAAATCAATGACTGTGATTTGAGGCAAAAAAAAAACAAATATAAAAATAAAAAAAGAAGACGTACTATTGTTTAGTAAGATTAGATTAAATTACTAAAAAGACATTTAGTTTATCTATCTTTTTATTTAAAATATTTGTATTTATTTGAAAAAGTAATCAATCTATCAAGTCATTAAATGTTTTTAATAAAATTATGTTTTTATTGTAAAGTATTTTTATAGTTTTTAAAATTAATTGAGGTTATCAAAATAATAATACATTAACAAATTATGTTCTATTAAATATATACTACTACTACTACTACTACTACTACTACTACTACTAATAATAATAATAATAATAATGATAATAATAATTAAAGATATTGAAAATAATCAACATAAATATAATATTTATTTAAAAGATTGTTAGGTTGCAGATATTTTTAACAATTACCCCAACTAATTTAATAATTGATAAAAAAATGTTCAAGCAACAAAAATCAGTCCAATGCAATCAAAAGATATGGAAAAAATATTAAAAAGCCTTTATTTACATGACTAATCTTTAAATAACCTATGCGTTTCGGCAGCCAAGTGCCTTGAACTGATTTTTGTTGCTTGTTCTGATGAATCCCTTGCCTAAAGGGCACCGACATGTTATTTGGGCTACCCAGAGCACTTTTTTGGAAAAACATTATGTTATTTAAAAAGTAAATAAATAAAACATTTACAAAAATGTAGGTGGTCCTATAAGTGTTGTCCTAGTGCTTTTAGAACAAATTTTATCCTAATATATTGAGCACATATTAAACACTTGTGATACTTAAACAAAGATATATATATATATATATATATATATATATATATATATATATATATATATATATACAAAGCCATTGAACAATATATTAAATTCAATTCAAATCTGTATAACTGGATCAGGGGTGAATAAAACTCTGTCCTAGAGGGCCGGTGTCTTGCTTGGTTTAGGTCCAACTTGCTTCAACACACCTGCCAGGAAGTTATGCAGTAAGAGCTTGATTAGCTGCTTCAGGTATGTTTGATTAGGGTTGGAGCTAAACTCCTCAGGACACCGGCCCGCCAAGACCGAGTTTGGACACCCCTGAACTAGATAGTCCAGACAGAAAATATAAAATGTCTCATATCTGATTAATGTCTGCCTTTTTTAGTGGATAACTTCTCCCAGAGAGAGATTGAAGAGTTTCTCAATGAAGCTGCTTGTATGAAGGATTTTCACCATCCGAACGTCATCAAACTCTTGGGTAAGAAACAACCATTGTTTCTAAATACACTATAAATGCTCTTTATTATCAGAAAGAGTGAAAACAATCTGATATAGATGTGCAAGCGGTTTTTAAATCCACATTGTGCTGATTGTGTTTCTGTAGGTGTTTGTTTGGAGGTTGGATCTGGACACTTTCCGAAACCAATGGTTGTGCTTCCCTTCATGAAATATGGAGATCTGCACAGTTACTTGCTCCGCTCCCGTCACGGGGAAGATACTGTGGTAATAATACTAAAGAAACAGTATTACTGTTTATTTCTTGCATGAACCAAAGTGTGCTGAGGGCCTGTGCCATGATGGTGGCTTAACGAACTCAGGATTTATGAATTACTTTTTAATGGCGCAGTATGTTATTACCACTAGAGGGAGTGTATTGACCATAAACAAAGATGTATTTTGATGATGTGTGTGGAATCATGGGGGTTTTGCTTCTAGAGTAGACCGAAATGAAATACACCATTTTCCATTAAGTCAACCTGGAGTGCTGAAATATAATTGGGTAAATTGGCAGTGGGCTGGTTATAGAGACCAAAACAAAGACAGACATTATACAGATGACACAGGCTCCTGGCCTAATAGGATGTTGTTTTTCCAGTATCTCCCCATGCAGATGCTGCTGAAGTTCATGATAGACATCGCTCTGGGAATGGAGTATCTCAGCAGCAGAAACTTCCTTCACCGAGACCTGGCCGCACGAAACTGCATGTATGTGTCCTCAACTTATAGTCTATTGACTAATTTAAAAATCGCGTGAAGTGAGATGTTTGATCTAATCTCAACTGAAACATGAAGAGAGGGTGGGACATAGAGTAGCTCCTCCCTCTTTTAAAGAACAGCCAATAGTGTTTTGTTTTATCACTGCTCTGCCAGGGAGAGTGGTTGGGCTCAAGCGCATCAAATGAAAAGCGAAGCGTCTTTAAGGGGGCGGGGCATGTCAGACTCTAGAGAGCATTTGATTGGTCAGAAGATTTGATGATGAACTGAAGTATGAGAAAAAGCTTCAGTTTGACTCAAAACATTGACCTATTTAGGTGGAAGTGACAAACTGCAAGCTTCATATGTTTAGATCAGGTTTATGCACCAATATTCCGTATATTACCCATATTCACTGTGAATAGGATAAAAATATTCATTTTCAAAATGAGATGTACTCATTTATGATGAGTACTGTATTTATAATAAACTAATAATGTACAGGGTGGGCCATTTATATGGATACACCTTAATAAAATGGGAATGGTTGGTGATATTAACGTCCTGTTCGTGGCACATTAGTATATGTGAGGGGGCAAACTTTTCAACATCAGTGGTGACCATGGTGGGCATTTTCAGGTCGGCCATCTTGGATCCAACTTTTTTTTTAATAGCAAGAGGGTGTTTGGACACATTAAATTTATAGGGAATTTAAAAAAACAACAACAATGGTGTGCTTGGTTTTAACATTATTCTTTCATGAGTTATTTACAAGTTTCTGACCACTTATAAAATGTGTACAATGCGCTGCCCATTGTGTTGGATTGTCAATGCAACCCTCTTCTCCCACTTTTCACACACTGATAGCAACACCGCAGGAGAAATGCCAGCACAGGCTTCCAGTATCCATAGTTTCAGGTGCTGCACATCTTGTATCTTCACACCATAGACAATTGCCTTCAGATGGTTCAAAGATAAAAGTCTAAGCGGGTCAGATCAGGAGACCTTGGGGGCCATTCAACAGGCCCACGATGACCCATCCCCTTTTCAGGAAACTGTTCATCTAGGAATGCTCAGACCCGACACCAATAACGTGGTGGTGCACCATCTTGCTGGAAAAACTCAGGGAACGTGCCAGCTTCAGTGCATAAAGAGGGAAACACATCATCATGTACAGGCCTGGCCCTAAGCAATTTGGCACCCTAGGCAAGATGTCAGGTGGCGCCCCGTCACATCGCAGTAAATTCCACTGGATGGTCATAAGAAACTAAATAGCTTTTTGATCGACTACTACAAGCTGGGAAAACTTCAGATAAATATGCCAATGCAATTAACATTAATGCTGATCTAATATTAACGCATTTGCTTGAGGAAGGAATGATGGGGTAGTTACATTAATATTACTATTTTCCATAACATCTATGCCCTTCCATAACATTAGCTGACGTCAAAACTAACAGATAGCACTATAGCTATTTATTGATTAGCAATCTGTCTAACGTTGGATGTAAAAAAATATGGGACAACAAATAGCTTCAAATGATAGAATACATAGCAAACATTAGAAAATACTGACAATAAAATAAAAGGTTTAGCCTATTAAAATCAATGGCCTATACAGAAATTAAATCAAGCTATAAAATCTACTTCACTTTTAATTGTATTTGCATATTGATTAAAGTTACTATAGTTATTTAGTGAAGAGCAGCTAGTGAATCTCTCATTGTGATTTGCTTGATAACAGAGATGTTAATGTCAGAATGCACAGATCTATAATGAAGCATTCGACTACTTTAGTAACTGTTTGTGCTCATTTAAGAGAAAAGTAGTTGTGTTTTAAATAAAACATGCAGGACGGAGCCAAAAAAGAAAAAAAGAAGCACTTTTCCGACGGTCCCTTACTAAGACCTCCGCTCGGCGTGAGCTCTCCCGGCTGAACGCATATTGGCGAGGGCTTAAATGGAGCAGTGCTCGTAATTTTGAGCAAAAAAAAATAATAAGAAAAAGACAGCTGTGAAACATAAGCAGCTTTGTCTTTTTGTAGGAAACACACTTTAGATCTTTTTAGGGTAAGAGGTTTTTGAGTTATTGCTGTCTATCACTGAACGTGTCAGGAATACCGAAAACAAAACCAACTTAACTGCGCTCATTTCTGGTGCCCCCCGGGATGTACAGCGCCCTTAGCATTGGCCTATCCTGCCTATGCCACTGGCCGGCCCTGATCATGTAGCAATTTCAAATATCCAGTGACCTTGAGGTTTCCATTGATAAGGAATGGTCCCACTATCTTTGTTGTCTTTGGTGTGAAGATACAAGATGTGCAGCACCTGAAACTATGGATTATAAATGAAGTGTTCAGAGACTTCTTTCGGGAAAAACTTACTAAGCCCTGAATTTTTATTCCTAGTGTGAGACTTGCGAGGACTCTGTCAAGTCACTTTTATTTCTGAAGCAATTATACAATGTAGATTCTGTGTTGAGGCTGCTTGACATGAACAAGAAATGGATAAACAGTCATAATATTTCAGTCTGTGGGACAAATTCAGCACCTTAGGCAGTGGCAGAGTAGCGATAGTGACTGATTTTGTCAACCCTCTAAGTGTCAGTATTTTTTTATGCATGTTGTGTTTGTTTTGTCTAGGTTGCGTGATGACATGAGCGTGTGTGTTGCTGATTTCGGCTTGTCAAAGAAAATCTACAGCGGTGATTATTACAGACAGGGCCGGATAGCCAAAATGCCTGTAAAATGGATTGCCGTGGAAAGCCTCGCTGACAGAGTCTTTACTGTCAAAAGTGACGTGGTGAGAGATTTTACAACATCTTTGTTTTTAGTCTCTACACCTGCTCTGTCTTAATTAAAATTCAACTACCTTCTGTTTTTATTGTTTTAAAAAAAGTCTTGGGTGTCTTCCAAAGTTGCATCGCTGAGTAAATGTTCAGTTTTTGAAGTTTATCATCTTTTAATGTACTTTTCAGTGGGCGTTTGGAGTGACCATGTGGGAAATCGCCACTCGAGGAATGACCCCGTACCCGGGCGTACAAAACCATGAGATTTATGATTATCTCCTTGAGGGGAACAGACTGAAACAACCAAACGACTGCCTGGATGAACTGTGAGTTTGTTTAATAAATGTGTTTCCTTTCTGAAAAGGCTAGTTTTAACAGCAGATAGCACTGTAGGATAGTTTTTACAGCAGGTGGCACTGTATGCTATTTTTAACAGCAGATGTTGCTCTAAGCTAGTTTTAGGAGCAGATGTTGCTCCAGGCTAGTTTTAACAGCAGATGCCACTCTTGGCTGGTTTTAACAGCAGATGCCACTCTTTGCTAGATTTAGCAGCAGATGTTGCTCTATGCTAGTTTTACCAGCAGATGCCGCTCTAGGCTAGTTTTCACAGCAGATGTTGCTCCAGGCTAGTTTCAAAAGCAGATGCCACTCGTTGCTAGGTTTAACAGCAGATGTTGCTCCAGGCTAGTTTCAGCAGCAGATGTTGCTCTTCGCCAGTTTTAACGGCAGATGCCACTCTAGGCTAGTTTTAGCAGCATATGTTGCTCCAGGATAGTTTTAACAGTAGATGCCGATCTAGTTTAGTTTTAACGGCAGATGCCACTCTAGGCTAGTTTTAGCAGCATATGTTGCTCCAGGATAGTTTTAACAGTAGATGCCGATCTAGTTTAGTTTTAACAGCAGATGTCGCTCTAGGCTAGTTATAACAGCAGATGCCGCTCTAGTTTATTTTTAACAGCAGATGCCACTCTTTGCTAGATTTAGCAACAGTTGTTGCTCTATGCTAGTTTTAACAGCAGATGTTGCTCCAGGCTAGTTTTAACAGCAGATGCCGCTGTAGGCTGGTTTTAACAGCAGATGCCACTCTTTGCTAGTTTTAGCAGCAGATGTTGCTCTATGCTAGTTTTACCAGCAGATGCCGTTCTAGGCTAGTTTTAACAGATGTTACTCCAGGTTAGTTTAAACTGCGAATGCCGATCTTGGCTGGTTTTAACAGCAGATGCCACTCTTTGCTAGTTTATAGCAGCAGATGTCGCTCTAAGCTATTTTTAACAGCAGATGTTGCTCTAAGCTAGTTTTAACTGCAGACAGGGCTCTAGGCTAATTTTAACGGCAGATGGTGCTCTAGACTAATTTTATTAGCAGATGGCGCTCTAGGCTAGTTTTATCAGCAGATGGTGATAACAGCAGATGTCGCTCAAGGCTGGTTTTAGCAGCACACTCAAAATGACTGTTGACTTTTATGTCACGAGATTACTGTAAACACAGCTCACCATGAACACTTGTATAAATCTTTCCTAACGTTTTTATGATTATTTTAGGTTCAAGTGGTATTTAAAATAAGTTGTATGCATACAGTGTGTGGCTGTTTGTAAAGTATACAGTGCCATTTGCTGTTAGAAGCCAACAGATTCAAAAGAGAAGCGTGAAGAAATTCTTTAAATCTCTGAATCAACATGGAATCGATTTTTGGAAATGAATTAGTTAACCTTAACGCACTGAATCTGATAACACATCCTGTGCTCTTATATTTCAGCTATGACATTATGTTTAGCTGCTGGAGCAATGAACCTGTGGACCGACCCGACTTCACACAGGTCAGGAAGAGGCTGGAGACGCTGTCGGCGAAACTCCCTCAGGTGTCCAACAAAAGAGACATCATCTACATCAACACCAGCTTCCCTGAAGAGGAGGAGGAGGAGGATGTAGAGTTACCCGACAGGGTGGCCGAGGACCCTGTGCTCACATCCTCACCCTCCTGCAGTCGCCAGACATCCGACACAGCAGTCATTACAGCGGATATTCATGAATGCACAGATGCAGAAGACGACCGATATGTTGTTGTCATATCCTCTGGTGAACATGCAGCTAGATCTGCTGTTGAAACACCACTGTTGAATCACGAACACTTAGAAGAGGAGTGCAGTGAAACGGTGACAGCGACACAGCAAACGTCTAGTGACAAAACATGCTTGTTGTGATCGGAGTTTGAAATGCAACTTTTTTCTATTCTGGGCCACTAGAAGGAGCAATCTGAAGGAATAATGACTGTGTTTAAAAAGGTTTCTCCACCTCTACGTGTTTTATAGCTGTGGCGATGATTCCAGTTGAAAAATACTTTGATTCTGAAATGTTCAGAATGCATCACAGTTCTACTTTGAATTGGATTCTGAGCTTTGACTGGCTCTCTAGGCGTGCTTTAACACTGCATTGGAAAACAAATGATTCACTGGAGTTTGATTCATTAAATTAATTGAAATGATTTATTAAATTACCGTCCGTTTGTTAAGTCGTGACGTATGAAATACTGTTTCCGGATCCAAGCCGCAACTTATTTGAATTGAGAAAATACTTATTTATGACAGGTTTTTAGTCATATCACACATTAAAAGTGAATTTTATATAAAATTATAGTGTACACAATAGTCTCTGGACTTGCTGCGTCAGACATTAATATTGTAAGAATAAAAAAAAAATTATTACTTTCTGGTCATCTAATATTTGGCATGGATATATATATATATATATATATATATATATATATATATATATATATATATACATATATATATATATATATATAT